GAAATACGAATTAAAATATCGTTCTTATATCGCTTATACTGCTATGTATATGTATGATACTGCGACAGTCGCTCTACAACAAATACGATCGCTCTCGATGCGCGCATGAGATTCAGCAAACGCGGAGTACGGCCGAAGAAATACGAAGGCGCGGAGGTGGCGCGGAGCAGAGGTGGAGCGGTGGAGTCGCGGAACAGCGATGAGGTCGCTATTTAGCTTTTATTAATATAGTGCCACTGTCGAGTAGGTGGGGAGCCTATTTTTTCGCCCCGCGACTCCATCACTCCATCATACATATACATAGCAGTATAAGCGATATAAAAACGATATTTTAATTCGTATTTCTCTGTACTTAATTGTACAAAATGTACGATCAAAGTAAATTGATCGAAATCTTGAAAACAGCGGAATATACATGTTTCGAGTCAAATGGAAAATGTTTTCCACCATCAAATGCTATGTATACAAAAATATTTTAATTAATATTTTAAGGTCCGGTAGGTCGAAAATGGTGGAGGTGCGAATGAAAGGTGAGAGAGAATGATAAAAAATTGTAATAACGGGAAAGAGTGAATTACGGTGAAAGGAGGGGTGGTGGGGTTGGGTGGTAGGGGAGGGGAAGGGCGGGTGGAAGAGGTCCGGTGGGCTGAAGATGGTGGAGGTGCGAGTGAAAGGTGAGAGAGGATGTTAAAAAGTTGTAAAACGAGAAAGAGTGAAATACGGTGAAAGAGAAAGCCCACGGAGGTGGTTGATGGGGGGAGGGGGAGAGGCGGTTGGAGGAGGTCCGGTGGATTGAAGATGGTGAAGGTGCGAGTGAAAGGTGAAACAAGATGTCAAAAGTGTGAATTACGGCGAAAGAGAGGGGTGGTAGGGGTGGATGGTGGGGGGAGGGGGAATAATACTGTATATTAGAAGGCAACGTAGCAATATGTTACTTTTCATAATAATCGATATGAAGCCGATATCGCCCTTTGAACTCCAATATCTCAGAACTTGTTGATTCCAGGACCACGTGCCCATTGAGACTTTTGATCAGGACATCATAAACTACAACATACTAAATTTTCAACCATTTTGACCGAAAGTACTTTCCCATAAGAAACGTGCGGGGTCCTTTTGCCACAAAAATATCCTGTAATGCCGCATGTATTACTGTATGCCAAAACGAAATAAAAGAATGATTATTATCACATAAAAGAGACAATAAAAAAAATATTCCAGAAAATAGGTAAACCAAAAAAAATTTTAAATAAAAAAACACAAAAAAATAAAAAATATAACAAAAAAACACAAAAAATAAAATATAAAAAGACAAAAAACAAAAACCGTACTCTCATCACGTCCACGTCGTGGTTCCGGGTTACGCTAAGAACGAGATAAGCACCAAATAAAATCATTACAGGAGAAGGTGGCATAATAATCAGTAGGGACCTTCTTAATATTACCGCGAACAGTTGACAAATTACAAGAATTACAAATATTTCTACAGTGGCACGGCATAAAATCATGACGTTAATATGTCAATACACAACAGCAACGACATAATGTAAGGAACTTTAACATTAAAAAAAATCAAAGAGTTATCAAAACACACTATAATATTCCATTAAATATACATATGTCATCATGATGTAATATTTATTATAATCACACCCTTTATTATTTAATGCAGATTACACAGATCTGTTATACAAGAGAAACACGTTACACGTGCAGAACGATGAAAGTAAAAAGAATGTAAACAATAAAAATAAGGTGTTAATATTCGGTGATGAGTAGTTGCTTGTCCGATCATTATACTTATTGGCAGGCGGATTATCGACATATCGCACTCGTGGATCTATTAATTATCGACATGAGTTTTTGTATTCAGTCTATCTTCTCGCCGCTAGGCGGGCTTACTTTTGTATTCGCGGATCTCTGTGCCTCATATTATTATATTATTTTTTTAGAGCACGAGGCATTTTTCGTGTCTGTTGGTTTCATTTGTTTAATAAATCTTTCTCGCATTAACGGAGCGTTACTCATTTTTTACTAACATTCGGTATAAACAAGCAACAATTATCAGTTGATAAATTTATTATATAAAATTCATAATTAAAACACGAAACGTTTCGACGCTTACTGCAGTCCTCTTCAGTCTCAAATACATAAAGATATCGAAAAACATATAATAAATCCAATAATCTATGAGCTATAACTCAGATGTCAAATGTTCTCTCTTAGTCAATTGTAAAATAAAGGAAAGAAAATTGTCAAATAAAGCTGTTTCCGCATCATGATTACAAATTTCAGATGCCCATGTGCAACTTTCTTTTCTTCAATAAAATTATTAAATTATTACTACAGAGATACATTGTGTGTAAAAGACAGTTGTCAGAAGAATGTGTGAGAGCAAAAATACAAGAAGAGCAACTAGAGCTCAAGAAAGAAACTAGAAATGCACCTTTAGTGCTACACTCTGATTCTTTGTCCATAATTCAGTCAATTACAGGGCTCTGGTAACTTGATCAACCATAAACGAGATTAATGAAAGAAGGCTAATCAATTTTAGTTATCAGGCAGCACGAGTCTATCGTTATTCACAACAAATCATTAATCATTAACCGCATTAAACAAAGAATTAATGAGCATTTTGATGTATTGTCCATTAATACAAATAACAGGATAAATATAGAAAAAAGACTCATAAAACTCTCAGATTTTGACCAGCGTCACATATGATACAAATATGACGAAAAGTACAGTTTTAGCGTTTAAAAAATTAATAAATAACTCTTATCATCAGAAATCTTCGGAAGGCGTTAGAATACATCCGTAGCTACAAGAAAAGTATAATATCTCCCATAGAACTCTTTGATTTCGACCAGCGTCTCATACATATACGCTGAAAAGCACTTTTCTCGGGACTTAAAAATTATTTAAAAAATTAAAAAATCATTTTTATCATCAGAACTCTTCGGAAGGCATTAGAATACATCCGTAGCTACACGAAAAGTATAATATCTCCCATAGAACTCTGTGATTTCGACCAGCGTCTCATACATATACCCTGAAAAGCGCTTTTCTCGGGACTTAAAAATTGTTTAAAAAATTAAAAAATTATATTTAACATCAGAACTCTTCGGAAGGCATTAGAATACATCCGCAGATACACGAAAAGTATAATATCTCCCACAGAACTCTCAGATTTCGACCAGCGTCTCATACATATACCCTGAAAAGTACTATTTTTGCGTCTTAAAAATTGTTTAAAAAATTAATAATTAACTTTTATCATCGGAACTCTTCGGAAGGCGTTAGGATACATTCAGTACTTCACAAAAATTATCATAGAACTCTCAGAACTATCGAGAATTGGACAGGGTCTTATTTTTATTGCTGAAAATTAAATTTTTGGGTTAAAATACTATTAAAAATTGAGAATAACATTGTTTATCGCCAGAACTCTTTTTAAAACTTATGTAGAACTGTTTGTTTTTCAAAATTCTACAAGAATCTGTGGTCAAAAATTGTCTAGGACAAAATGAGACGCTGCGTGAACCTGGCGTCTCAGTTTGTACTTTCGCTTTTTTTCCATTATATGGGGCAGAACTATTAGTTTTATCTATCAGGAACTATAGAACTATTGAAAATACATTCAGAACTCTCAATATTTCATGAGCTTCCACGAAATAATACGCCAGCTTCACACTCACCACCAGCTCTCAGGTCCCGTCGGGCAGCTTCCGTGGTTTGGCTCTTCTTTCGTTGAAAAGATATGATAATACGTAGCCATAATTGCGTTTTTCATATTTTCAACACTATCTGTGTTTCTTTGGATGCTCAAACCATAATATTTAGTGAGTTGCTTAATTTTTTTCTCCGTTAACTTGTTTCTTCCGCCAAGTTTTTTTTCTTACGTTTTGGAGTCTGTTGTATATTCTCTTTTCAACGTGGCCGATATGCTCACTTTTGACAACAGTCAACTCGTCACCATATGGTTGTAAATCTAGAATGGCCTTGAAAGTTTTGGAGTCCCCATCACCGATGTAATTACTGTATTTCACACCGAAGTTCTCTTCCGATCTGGCAAACATTTCTTTCATCGAATCGACTTCCATCTTTCCCGCCGAGCCATCGTAATTCTTCATACATTCTTCTTCATGATCTTGTAACCATGTATGATATTCTACAGTATGCATTTTCTTTTTCCGGGTCATACAAGCGTGACAATAACTACTTTTAATGACTAAATCAATTACTTTGCCGATGTAGTAATCGATCTGCGTTGTGACGCCAAACAGTGATTTGAACCCGCGTTTTTTCCATGTCCCATCGCCAGAGACTTTGAGATGTTTCTCAGTTCTTCCATTCAACGTTTTTTGTTATTTCTTCTTGAACAGCTTTTTGAGATAAAATCTTGAACGACGACTTGGCAGCTTCATGAATATACTCGACGATTTTAGTGTGTTACGTCCCGGTTCGTTCGTACTTCTTACGCCGGTGTGAAACGCGGCACGGGTAAATGGGAGCGCGGGCGCGGAGCGGGGCGCGCGGGGCAAAGCCTCGGCTTCTCAGCTGATTCACTGTTTATGTTTGACTGGCAGGCTGCTGTCACCAGTGCCTTCGCGAGGCACAATATTATGTCTTAGTACTTCCAAATAAAGTCTTGATAACGAGTGCAAATGTTAGTGTCTTTTCACCTTCGAATGTGAATTTAAATTTAATTTGGCCCTCGTATCCTCCGCAAAAAAATTAAAAAGAGAGATTTGAGGAAACGTCAGAGTTCTTGTGTCATATATAGATGACATTTATATTTCATCATCTAGTTTCACTCATCCACGTTTCTCTTTGGGGAGGATAGGAGGGGGTACTTGAGATGAAATAATATATAAAAAAAAATATAAAGACATCAATTATTATTTTTATTCTAGATTTGAATATTTACATTTATAATATTGTTATTATTCTTTTTACTCGTAATTAATTTTGGTCGAGTCGGCTTCCTCGTGGAAGCTATGCATACGGGCGGTGGCGTTATAGGTCGCGGCTTCGGTCGCGGATTTGGTTTAGCGCCTAATTTTTCACCCGAAGAAATAGTTGGCGTAATTGCTGGTTTGGGCGGCGGCAGTTTTCCGGACGGACTCGCGGTTTTCGGTGATGGAGGTGTTGGAACTATCTGTCGTGGTGTCACGTCGGTTTCTCCCGTGTTCCAGTAAATGGAGGGGTCAAAATCTCCTCCCTGAAGATATTCGCGTAGTACTTCGCGTATTCGTACCTTTGTTCCTCCCCTCTTACTTCGTATGCGGCGCTTCCTATACTTCAGTGCTCGGAATTAGTTGCACATTTCGGGCCGATTTCTGAGGCGACGCCTACTGTCTCCCCACTACTACTCGAGCCTCGGCGGCCGAGCCGCCGACCGCTCACGTGACGCTGTGCCTCAGGAGCGTCGCGATACTATATAAATATTTAACATTTAATTTAACATTAAAGAATATTGCTTTCCTCGAGCTATATACTTAATCAGCTTTTTCGTTATTTTTTTTTAGTGGAATAGGCCTACTGGGGAAACCACTTAAAAAAAACGCGTCAACAATAGTACCTCAGAGGTGATGTGGAAAACTGTTGTTCAATATTGTAATTATCATACTGTAATAATTGTCAAAATTATATCATTATAGAATATATATATATAATATGCTAATAATAAACGTGAGCGGTCGGCGGCTCGGCCGCCGAGGCTCGAGTGGTAGTGGGGAGACAGTAGGCGTCACCTCAAAAATCGGCCCGAAATGTGCAACTAATTCCGAGCACTGCTATACTTCTTTGGCATCTGCCATTTAAATAAAAGGTTTCATTGGTATACCTTCCCGTAATAAATCCAGGATTTGAATTATCTAATTTTATAGCGAATGGCTACTTTCTACCCAATAAATTCTAAGTGTAAGACTTATTATTCCTGGTGTAAGAAAGAAAAACAGTCTAAGTATGGTATTCTTGATATAAGAATATATATTTCAGTGTAAAAGAAAATATTTTGTGGTTATTATCCCGAATATGAAAGAAAATATTCCGAGCATAATGCTAATATTCTCAGTACGGGAATGAATATTCTGAGAATAAGACTAAGTATGGACTTCCGGTTGCGAGGTGAGTGAGAATAGACGATTTTGAGAGGAGGGATCTGAAATTGAGAGCTTAAGGTGCTGTAAGGTTCTGCCCTGCGGGGAGTTTTTGTTGCAGGCGACAAGGGCTGTGAAACCTTGGAGCTGGGCAAAGAGAGCAGCTCGTTCTTCGTTCAGGAGGGCGAGCTTTTCCGTGGGAGAAAGAGAAGCCGATTTCCTAACCCCCAAACGTCACACCGGTCAACATCGGGAAGACGGAAGGGAGGTATAGCAGAAGGTGGAAAAGCCGGTGAGAGGAGGAAGCCAGAAGCGAAAGAGAAGGAGATCGGTGTGTGTCAGGGAGATCTGTGAGTGGAAATAAAATAAACTTCCAGTCACTGAGTGTCATTCGGGAACCGCATGGTCGGGAGGTGTCCTGCGCAAGCGCTGAATTACCAAGCGGCTGTGACGTGGGTTCCGGCGAAATAGTGAGGAAGAGAGAGAGAGAGTGAGAGAGAGAGAGAAAGAGGACCGACCGAGCAAGCGGATTCGCGAAAAGCGAAGGAAATCGGCGGGCGCGACGATTTAGCATAGTGAGAACGAGGTAGAACAAAGAGTTACGCTGCTGGATATACTGTGACACGGGCAAGGAAGCGAGCGGAGGGGGATAAGTGAGAAGTCGGGAAGGGAGAGCGAGAAAGAAGATTTCATCCTAGGGCCGAGTGAGACAAGTGGGACGAAGGTAGAGAGGTGGTTAACGTTAGAAGGCAAGTGGGGTGAAGGCAGTGAGGCAAGGAGTAGGGAGCAGCAGAAATTTGACGATAGGAGCGGAGCGGAGAAAGGAAAGAGAGGCAGACCGACGAAGGCTGAGAGCTTGGGAAGAGGTAGAAGGGGTAGCAGGTGCAGTGGCAGTATAGCTTCGCTGTGGTCGAAACGAGAGAGAGAGAGTGACTCTGAACCCGAGCTGGAGGAAAAGGGAGAGACGGCGAGAGGTGTGAAGCGCATGAAAGAAAATACGAACATCGACAGCGGAATCCAGGAAGGAAAATGGGACGATAAAATGGATGAAATAGAGAGGATAATGAGGAAACTGCTGAAGGAAACGAAAGAGGAAATTTTTAAGAAATTAGAACAAATAGGAGAAGAGATAAGAAAGGAAGTAAGGAAGGAAATGAAGAATGAAATAAGGAAAATAAGAGAAGAGGGAGAAAAGGCAAGAGAGAAAGTAGAGCGTGAACTGGAAGAAATGAGAAAGAAGGTACAGGAGATGGAGAAGAAAAGAACAGATCAAGAAAGAAGAGAGAGAAGATTAATATTGTAATAAGGGGGACTGAAATTAAGGGGGAAAATGTAAGAGAGGCGGTGGATGGAGTGTTTGAGAGATTGGGAGTGAGGGAGAAAGCGATACAGTTGAGTGACGTGTATAAAGTAAGAGTGAAAGAGAATGAGTGCATGATAGTGGTGAAGCTGAGAAGTATGGATGATAAGAGAATGATTATGGAGAAAAAGAGCAGGTTGAAAGGATCGAAAATGTATGTTGATGATGATATGACAAAGAGTGAAAGAGAGAGACAGAGTGCGGTTAGAAAATGGGCGAAATATGAGAGAGAAAATGGTATGCGTGTGAAAATAGGGTTTGGTAGGGGATGGATAAATGGAAAAGAATACGTATGGGAAGAAGAAAGAAGGTGTATGTGTGAAAAGCTTTTTTAGAGAGTGCTTACATGAGGGGGGAAACGAGAGGAACGGAAAGGAGAGGGAGGGAGAGAAAAGAGCATGCAAACAAGAAAGGGAGAAAGGGTGGGGGGTTTGAGAAAAGAGTGAGAGCAGTAATATGGAATGTTGCGGGTCTGAAAAAGAAGGATGAGGAGTTCTGGAAATTTCTGAAAGACTATGAGGTGATCGGGCTGGTAGAAACGTGGGTGGATGAAAAAGAGTGGGAAAAGTTGAAAGAGAAGATGCCAGAGGAGTGGAAATGGAAATGTCAGCCAGCTAGGAGAGATTGCAAGAAGGGACGAGCGAAGGGGGGAATTGTGACTGGTGTGAGAAAGGAACTGGAGGAAAGGGAAGTCGGGTATGAGGAGAAGGAAGGGTTCCAAGAAAGAGAGGTAGTGATAGATAGAGAAAGATGGAGGTTTATGATAGTGTATAATAGAGAGGGACGGAAAGAAGGGCTGGAAAAGATGAAAGAGGTGATAAGAGAGGATAATGAAGGAAAGTTAATAATAGCTGGGGACTTCAATGCTAGAATAGGAAAGGAAGGGGGGTGGGGTGAACTAAGCACGGAGAGGGAGGAGACGAGTGAGAAGGAGAGAGTTTCTAAGGATAAAATGATTAATAAACAAGGAAGGGATTTGATGGAGGTAATGGAGGAAAGAGGATGGATGGTGCTAAATGGAGGCAAGGAACGAGATGAGGAAGGGGAGTGGACCTATGAAGGAGGGGGAGGGAAGTCGGTGATTGACTATGGGATTGTGAATTGGGAAGCTTGGGAGAGAGTAGAGAGGTTTGAAGTAAAGTGTAGGGCAGAATCGGACCACCTGCCAATTGTGATAGATCTAGGGAGTTGGTATGAAAGAGGGGAGGTGAGAGAAGAAGAGGAAAGGGTGCAGGATTGGTCAGATGAGGGGATAAGGAAATTTAGACAGGCAATAGGTAAGATCGAATGGAGAGGGGAGGGGGTACGAGAGGCGTGGGAGGAGTTAGAGAGAGGAATAATGGGAGCGGTGGAGTGGAGAAATAAGGTGAAGAGGAAAGGGATAGGATGGTGTCCATGGTTGGACTCAGAATGTAGGGAGAAAAAGAGAGAAATGCATAAGGCGAGGAGAAGGCATAGGAAAGAACAGGAAGAAAGGCGACACGAAGAGTTTATAAGATGTAGGAAGGAATATAGAGAGTTATGCGGAAAGAAACAAGAGGAACAAAAGAGAAAGGAGGAAAAGGAGGTGGAAAAAATAAGAACGGAAGCAGAAGCGTGGAAATTCATAAATAAGGGGAGGAAGAAAAAGGAGGATGTTTGCAGAGATATTAAAATGAAGGAATGGATAGAGCATTTTATGAAAACTCTGGGCGGGGTGGAGGAAAGAAAAGTGGAGGTAGAAGGAAGAAGGAGAATAGATAGGGCGGAAGACGAGGGAATAGGAGAGGAGGAAATAAAAAATGAAATAAGAAGAGTGAAAAGGGGTAAAGCAGCAGGGATAGACCAGATAAGAAATGAAGCGTGGAAGGAAGGAGGAGAAAAAGTCGGGGAAAGATTGGGAGAGGTGTTGAAAATGGTATGGGAAGGGGGAGGATTTCCGGAGAGATGGAGGGCAGGAGTGGTGGTTCCGATATGGAAGCGAGGAGAGAGAAAAGATCCGGGGAATTATAGAGGGGTTACATTGATGAGCACGGGATACAAAATGTATGCGAATATATTGAACCGAAGGTTAGTAAAAGAGATGGATGAACAGGAGGGGTGGTGTAGGTCGCAGGCTGGTTTTAGGAAAGGAAGAGGTACCGTGGAGAATGTAAAGATATTAAAACATATAATAGGGAGGAAGATAAAAAATAGAAAGAAGGTATGGGCATTCTTTATGGATTTGAAAGGAGCTTTTGATAGGGTGGATAGGAAGGTTCTGTGGGAGATGATGAGAAGGAGAGGAGTGAGTGAAGGATTAATAGATAGAGTAATGGAGGTTTATGAGGAGACTAGGTGTGTGGTGAGGGTAGGACAAAAAATGTCAAAGGAGTTTTGGGTAGAAAATGGAGTAAGGCAGGGTTGCCCGATGAGCCCGACACTCTTTAATATATGGCGGATATTGAGGAAGAGTTAAAGAAAAGAAACGGAGGAGTAAGGGTGGGAAATGAGAAGGTATGGTCCATAGAGTACGCGGATGATGTTGTGTTGGTAGCAGAGGAAGAAGAAGGTCTTAGAGACATGATAAGGGGGGTTAAAAAGTATTTAGAAGAAAAGAAGTTGGAGTTGAGTGTGGGAAAGTCGAAGGTGATGTTTTTCAGGAGTAAGGGAGGGAGGGAGAAGGAAAGATTTTGGTGGTGGGGAGGAGAAAGAATAGAAGAAGTGAAGGAATACAAATATTTGGGATATGTAATGACTAGGTATGCAGGAGAAAAGGAACACGTAAGAGAAAGGATAAGAAGAGCGAGGGTGGCAATGGGATGGATATGGAACTACGGGGAGAGAAAATTTAAGGGAGATGCAAGATGGAGACTAAAACTTTTTGACAGCATAGTGAAGGGAATCTTGTTTTATGGGGTAGAAGTGTGGGGATATAGGGAATGGAAGGAAGTGGAAGCGGTACAAGAAAAATACCTGAAGTGGATTCTAGATTTGGACAGGGTAACACCAGGATATATAGTAAGGGAGGAACTAAAGAGGAGCAAATTGAGGGTGGAGGCGGGATGGAGGGCGGGAAGGTTTGAAGAGAAATTAGAAGGGGGGAAGGGAGGAGAAATCGCGATGAAGTGTATGGCTGAGAAGAGAAAAGATGAGAGGGAGAAGGAGAGGGGTGAATGGCCAAGGGAGAGTTTAGAAAGGGGAAACTATTTATGGAGGTGTGGTATAAGTGAGTTTGCTTTGAGAGAATGGGGGGAGAACAAATGGGAACGCTTGAGGGAAAGAGACATAGAAGTAGATGAACAGGAGAGGGGGGAGGAAGTAAGGATGTCAAGGTCGTGTGGGAGGTATGAAAGGGTGAATGGAGTACCAAGGTATATAGGGGTGTGTAAGAGAAATGAGGGGAAAAGGTTGGTAAGGATAGCGAGGTGGAGATGTGGGAATGAGGAAAGAGGGAATAGGTATTGGATGAATGAGGAGGAGAGAAAGTGTAGGTTGTGTGGACGAGAAAGAGAAACAGTGGAGCATATGAGGAGGGAGTGCGAATATGTGAGGGAGAAGGGAGAAAGAGGTAGGGATGTACTAAATGAGGATGGGAGAGGAATCGGATGGATGGAGATGATAGAGAGGTTGAGAAAAGAGAAAGAAAGAGAAAGAGAGAGAGAAGGAATAGAGATAGAGAGGGAGAGAGTGTGTGTGAGTGAATGAGTGTAGATGGATATTCTCGACTGGATATTGTATTGTTTTATATTGTATTGTAATGGAAATTATATGTCTATTGGTTACTGAATATGATGTTGTAGCGGAATCGTAATGGAAGTCTATGTAAGCACTTTTTGTGGATGCATAATAAATAAATAAATAATAAGACTGAGTATTTCGGCAGTTATGTATGATTTTCCCGGTATAAGAATAATATTATGCTCCCGGTGAAGGAATAACTATTCTGAGTTATAATTTTTCCTGAGGGTAGGATTTTAATGCTTTTGACCAACAACTACTGGTTTACATATAAGATTTAGGTTCTATCATTACCGATGTGAAAGAAAATATTCTAAGTATACTGTTCTTAATAAACAACAAAAAAAATATTCTAAGTAAAATAAAATTTTTCAATATTCGTAGTGTGAAAGTGACTTATTCTGAGTATAAGGTTTAGTGTTTCCGAATACGAATATTATCCGGTATAGAATAAATTTCTCTCAGTATAAGAATAATTCAATATTCCAGGTGGGTGAGAATGCTCTAAATATAAAACTTTTAGATTTCAAGACTTAATGTTCCTGAGTTGAACGAAAAATATTCTAAGTATAACGTTCTCGACATGAAAGAAATATTCTAAGTGTGATGTTCGGTATTTTCGATACGAGAGGAATCATTCTATGTGCCATGTAGTATTTCCGACTTAAACCTATAAGGAATATGAGATGAATATGTTAATACAATGATTCTTGGACGCCATGAAGGCGCGGACAAAAATCGGCAAAGAATAGGAAGGATTTGAAAATAATTTCAGAACGCCAGAAGGCGCGGACTAGAATCGGCTGTGGATATGATACAATTTAAAGGGAAGCCGCAGAAACGCCTTTCGGCGCGAGGTATAGTTACCTTGTCTGAGACATTTCTGAAAGGAATAGGTACGCTCCGCTAGAATTGTCTCGTTTATATATGGTTTGCTTGGTAGCGTCTCGCGGTAAGGGGATGTTATTCTTTTGGCTGTGTTATGTCCGTGTGAGGACGTTCTGGAAAATTCTTCAATTATTAATTTGTCGATTTTAAGCTTAATAACGCCGAATTTCAATGCGCGAATGCAAGGGATTTATAGTATATAGGGTACAGCTCATATGGCCGCGTCGGCTTCGCTCGTGTTGCAGTAGGACACGAGTAAAGTGTACACAAAGATGCGCTGTGTTTTTCATGCCATGTTTTCGGTAGGCCGCTTCCTCGAGCGATTACTGAGAATTAAGTATTCGCGAGAGATTCTATGTTTATTTAAGGCTTTATTTTAGACTTGTGAGTGTCAGCGCTTGTCAGATGGGTATGTATGTGTTTCCCACGCTTATTGCCGTGGTCCAGCAGGTGTACTCGAAGCTGCACGGAAGTGCATTACTGGGATGCAACGCGGTTTTTTATCGAATTCTGCCGAAGACCGTTAATTATTCTTACATCTAAGTAGCTTAGCTTTATCTGTTCGCGATCACCTTTTTATTGACAATAGTGGATTTGTATTTTTATGCATTGTTACGTCCGGGTTTTCGCGCGTTTTGCTATTCGCGACGTCCCGAACGCGGCGTGTGGGATCTTTACGTGCATAGTAGGCACATGAGATCGGGCTCGAGCTTTTCCCGGGATTCGAAATATCGACTTAACGTATAGAGAAATTAATTTAGGAACGTAGTCGATCGGAAGATGTAGAGCGACCGTGGGCCGAGCGGAAACGCACGTCGTCTCTCATTCCGATGATAAGCGAAGGTCGTAACGCATATGTTCTAATCATAGCGTAAGAACTAGTGAGAATAAGCGACTTCTAATCGCGACGGCCAGCGAGTAGCATAAAAAAAACAGGGCACGGAAGTGGGCAACAGAATGAGGCAGCGCTCAACTCCCGCCTGCTTGCAAATCGTTGAGGGGGAAATGCTACTCACTGGGGGAGAACTATAGTGAAGTTAATGTAATTTAAAATAAGAAAATAGAACGAGGCGATTCTTACGTCGCGAGGAATGTTAATAGCGCGAAAATTTACGCGAGTGTCGTCGTCGAGCGGAATCTCGGCTAACGAATGCGCGAGTAGTGCGAATTATAATTTACCGTTCCGCGGATAGTTCGATCGCGACGGCCAGCGAGTAGCATAAAAAAAAACAGGGCACGGAAGTGAGCAACAGAATGAGGCAGCGCTCAACTCCCGCTTGCTTGCAAATCGTTGAAGGGAATGGCTACTCACTGGGGGAGAGTTATCGCACGCACTTAATCGCACTTACACTACACACGCTTAGACAACACAACATAAAAGAAAACAAAAGGAAAGAAATAATTGGAACGATGGTTCATCATTGTTCGTTTTAAAGATAGCTTTCATTTCTGCAAGTAACAAAAAGAAAGGGGCAGAGAATAATAGTCGCGTCGATTTGCCCATAAGTTATTGTAATCGAATTCGGAAAGAGAAAAAGAAAAAGCGACTGATTCGCACCGCAAGAATCTACGTTAATAATTATCTTGTCGCAATAATTCTAACGCTCGCGAGTGAGTACTGATGGTACGTCGATCAGAGCAATAATAAACACGTAATATTATAAACCTTGCTCAGAATGATAAATTTGCTTACTATAGAGCTTAGAATTTAGAATGAATTTAACACGTACTGATATTACACGAGGAAATAGAACAAACAAACTTTAATATAATACAGAGCGTTAGAACGATTATTTACAATAATATGAAATTAATATAAGACGGAAAATTACGAGAGATTCGCGCACGAAATACTTACTATACTAAATCTTATAGAGCTATCGAAGATGGAACAACAATGAACTGGAGCGCTTGATTTCGCTCGATGATATAGGACCAGCTTGGTGGCCGCGGTGTGTGGAAACGTCGAATTTTCCCGAAAAATGGGCCATAAATCACTTTCGCAATTAATTAATATCTCATTAATCGATGAGCGCAACGCTTTGATACTTGGTACAATTTTAATTCGTATTTATGGGAAACATTGTATCGAGGCGGTTTCTCGTTAGCAAGCGTGGAGGCGCTACGATAAGGCCGCATACCAAATTTTAGTTTTTCACTACAGCTTTTCGCCCTATCTGTCAACGCGGATCAGCGAGTATCGCGCGATGCGCAGTAAATTCACATTTTCGTTATGCCTGTCTATAGCATTAATGATTTTGGCAGTTTAGGCCAATTTAGTTAAGATAGTGCGGTATAGTTTTGCGCAAAATGCGCTGGCCGGCATCGTCATGCTCCCAATTGTATCGTGGTATTAATTAAACCGCGAATTTCAGTAATTAATTAATCGGCGTGAGGCGCCCGGGAGGTGGTGCCCTCGCGTAAGTGCGGCGCTAGTCGAAGTTAATGCAAGTACGCAGGCGAATCGTACGGCGCGATAATAA